TATATATATATATATATATATATATATATACACACACACACACACACACATATATATATATTATATATATATATATAATGTATATGTATTTATGTATTGGCGGGGCGATATGGAGCTCGGTTGGTTTGTCATTACCGTTACTTTTTTTGCGTGACCTTTCGCCAATCCTCTATGACTCGTCGTAGTTGAGATATAACAATGTAATTCTGACTAAACCTGGCGTAGTCAATATGCATGCGAGTTACGCGTATCAAATTATATATAAACATCTCATACATACCTCTCACGCACCTGTGTAGGTAAATTGTGGCATAGTTGCCAAATTAGTTAGCCCTATCGTGATTGGGTTCCTAATACATTTAAATGGCTGTACCTCTCCTGCATCTGTGCAGGTGAAGCGCGGCATAGTTGCCAAACTAGACAGCTCTATCGTTAATGGGTTCCAAAACGCGACCGCCAATGGACCCTTATGTGAAGAGCCGATGCGATGTGTGCTGTTTGTGGTGGAGAATATCTGGATGTCCCCCGCTCTTCTCGACAGAGCGCGCACGGGAGAAAAGCCAAAGGGAAGGGGTGAAGGTGCAGACAATGGTATGGCACATGTCCGAACTTATAAAATGCAACAGCAGCATGTGTATACGTATTTTTGGGTTCGTACTGACACTGTGCTTCTGAGGGGTTGGCTTTTCGATCCAATAATTAGACAGATGCGTGCAACGCATCCAGTGCTCATGTTCCGACGCTAAATATAGTTTTGGTAGCCATTGCACTCTCAAAAGGGGTCGGGTGTTGCTCTATTGTATATATCCAGGAACAAACTAGAACGGTATAAATGTTGCATATAACTAGAAAAATAACATGTCGGTAGTACATTCTAATACGCACGCTTGTCAGAGAACATACGTAGTATCTCGCACTGTTACATAAACAGAGAATATGGCCCAGGATTTCTACTACCTGCACATTGCACAAGAGAGCGATGCTCACCAACTGCATGATAGACCCCTAATCCATATAACCATTTACCTGAATCACACACTTGTTAGCAGGCATTCATCGTCTCGTGCATTGGTGGCTTTATCAAAGATATGTATTAACAATGTATTGGATATGACCTCTCTCGATGCAGATTTTACACCTATGCATTGCACAGGAGAGCTAAGCGATGCCTTGGAGAGTACCGCCAGCGACAATGGGGCGAATTTGGACCCCAAAACACTCAGCAAGGGCAGTTCACTAGGAGCTGTAATAGGTCAGATGGTATCGGTTGTCAAGGAAACGTGCCGGAAGGCATTTATTGCCAGCCACCCGAGACTGATGTATGCACAGTACGCATGCGATATACAAGGTATGTAATCACTGTATTTTGAAGTGCTGTTTACTGCTCTGGAACAATCGATATCTTCCTATTCCCCATACATACTGGTAGTCGCTGTAGTTTATACAGTTTCAGCTGTTGTACGTTAAGCACTGGTCCCTATGCCATTTTGAATACTCTTTAATTGAAATAATGCGACACGTGACAAGCAACACACCTCAAGTGACAGGCAATACACCTTAGATACCCAATACTGTAGCAGTTAGGAGCTATCATACATTGAACACACATAACTACTATATCTCAGACCACTCGAAACCGGCGGTCTATTTTAAATACAGTAAAATGGGCGCTTGAGAAAGACATGGTTGGTTAAAGCCCCTCGCCAGACTTTTAGTGAGCTGGAATCAATGTTCGGCATTACCAAAGTTTATCTGCTGTACTTTGGTAGTGTAATCCGAACTGATTCAGACCTAAACCGATAAACAACGTCTAACCTAATTTTCCCTATTCGGTAAAAATATCTCACTGATATATTCTGGTGCAAGTAGGTCTGACACGATTTGTTGCCCATTCTCCGTATTTCCTATAGCGCCGGCTGAAGTGCTGGGCAAAGTATACGCAGTCGTATCGAAACGAGAAGGGGTGGTCTTATCCGAGAACATGAAGGAAGGGTCTGATATATTCACTATCAAGTGTCTGTTGCCTGTGAGGAATTCTTTTGGGTTTGCAGACGAGATCAGAAAACGTACCAGTGGTGCTGCTTTCCCACAATTAGTTTTCAGTCATTGGGAGGTATGTTTGTTTGTTCTCACGCTTTATTTTACGTATTTTGCGTATTCGTCGCTGGACGTTGTCCATACGTATCTGATGTGTTGATCGTGAGACTTCTACTCGGGCTGGCAGACACCTTACAAAAACAAACACTAGTGATTGAATTGCGAAGACTTATTTTTTCTCGTTATTTTCTTCATATTCAGACCATCCCTGTAAATCCGTTCTGGATCCCTACAACGGTGGAAGAGTTACTGCACTATGGAGAAATCGCAGACACGTATGTGACGTTTATGTACTTTCGGTCATGCATGCGCGCCAGTGCATATACACGATATAGGCACGCAAAGAGTTCGGATCAGCGATGTATCTTAAATCGCTCAATTACTTTCGATTCATCTATGCATAAAAGTTGTCGTGTTGCTTTCTCAAGACTATGATCACAGCTGTTTTGGCTCTGTATTCGTGAAAGGGTGTCGCGCGTTCGGGATTGCGAGTATAGCAGCAACTGTACCAAAAAATACAGCGAATGTTCGCTTGTAATTTAAGAGTTAACTTACACGTGTTTTTTTTGCGCAGGGATTGACCTGAACACCTGAAAACTCCACGGAACCTGTATCACTGTTCAGCTCATTTCATCTATTTTTGTCTCTTGGCTTGTGCAATCAAACTCAATCCGCAGGGTGAATCTGGCAATGAAGCTGATGAACGACGTCAGAAAGAGAAAGGGGTTACGGGTGAAGGAGAAATTAGTAGAACACGGTGAAAAGCAAAGAACACTGGGACGAAATAAGTAAATAAATAAACTAATACGGCGACTATGCAGATCGCAGCCGTGGTAAATAATTAGATACACGAGAAAGCTACAGGAGAGAGGTTTAGAAAACTTATTTATTTTCCCTGGGGGCACACTATAAGTGATTGAAACTTGTGGATTCACTTGCACTGATCGACAAAACTGCGCCAAAAGCATTAAATTCGATCTTTTGGAGTCGAGTCACAACCCTTGATGTCACTCATAGTCCACTTCTTTTTCACAGCCGTCTACACCTGATTTGATTTTTCTTGCGAGTATGCTATGTGTAAACAGAATTGCAACAAGTGTTGGCCTAATTTGCGTATGCCGACTTGTGTATACCGAATTTTTAAAGAAATCATTTCTTTGCACACTGAGAGTGACCACCATAGCAAGCAGTACACTCTCATGATTACTTTGTGTACTCCAAGAGTTA